GTGTCCCAGAAAGGTTTTTCTTGAAGCTTTAAGCCTGGTGTGTTCTTTCGTAGCTGGTAGAAGACATCTCTGTGTGTGACCATGGGATGGGGCTCCCTTTCCCAAGGACACTGTAAATGTAGTCGATGTCTCTTTCTTGGGTATTTCTCCCCTTGTGAGAGGTGGCTTCCAGGGGAGCTAATTCTCTTCCTAGGTCTTTCTGCACCTTCCCACCTCTGCACTTCTGAGCTTGGGGCTCATGTAGAGCTTACAGCTCTGAGCCTGTCTGGTGCTGGGTAAGAGGGTGGTACTTATTTTTTATTTTTATGAAAAGTTATGGAGCTCTGGCAGGGAAATCTCTTAGCAAAAATCATCTCCTTGGCTGTGTCTGATTCACCCTTTGGTTGCATCATTATCCATCCATTGGAAACCCCAGTGAATTTGACAGAAAATATAGCAGTGTTTCTCAGGACTCAGCCTTTTTTGGACTGGAGAGTACTTAAGGTCCTGACTCCTCCATAAACCAAAAGCAAGCCTGAAATTGCCTTTGACTCCAGTGGTCTCCCAGTGCGTGTTCAGCTCTGAACTGGTGCCTCCCTTCTGCTGATGCTGTCCCTCAGCCCTTGTTTTTCCCAAAGACCCTGTTTGCTCTCTGCCTGTCACGTTGCCCTCAGGTTGCCATGAGCTTTTGTTCTCAGTGGTCCCTGCCAGGCTGGCGGTGGGAAATGCTCTGTCTGAACTCAGATATTTAATGGCAAACTTGGCTCAGGTGCCCAGTCTCTCCCAACCCTTCCCTCCTTTTCCAGTGACTGCAGCGACAGCTCCTGGCTGTTTGGGAAGGAGGCACACGTTGAAGAGTACAGAAAGGGGTTTGTGGACAGTCAAGGCAACTGGAATCTCAGTTTTACTTGGATTTTAGTTTAGCACTTTTAATGCCAAACTTTGGTTGCCTTTGCACATCTCACCCATTTTCAGCACGAGTCAGAGCCGGGAGCTGCTTTTTCCATGAACGAGGTGTTAGCATGTACAGCTACCATACCAGAAAGAAATTCTTTGCTGTGAGGTTGGTGAGAGCCTGGCCCAGGTTGCCCAGAGAAGCTGTGGCTGCCCCATCCCTGGAGGGGTTCAAGGCCAGGCTGGATGGGGCTTGGAGCAACCTGGTCTGGTGGGAGATGTCCCTGCCCAGGGCAGGGGGGTTGGAACTGGATGATCTTTAAGGTCCCTTCCAACTCTGACCATTCTATGATTCTATGATTTCCTCCTCGTGTAGTGTTGTCTTTGGGTGAATCTGAAATTCTCCTCCTTCCTCTCCTGCCAAAGGAGCAGCGTTCTGCTCGGTTTACCTCCTCGCTGCTGGTTTGAAGCCAAGCATCCCCAGGTGCACAAATGCAGAGCTCATCCCTGGATATCCTCACTGCTCGCTCTCTGCTTTTAGACGTAATATTTACAACTGCACTTGGCCTCGGTACGCCTAGCTTTATTCCAAATAAATGACCCTACTATGTATTTGCTAGGCTTTTACAGCTTTTCTGTTCCCCAGCCAAAGTTGCAGCTGTGCCCAAACTTCTGGCTGGGGCACGTCTTAGAGCCTTTTATGGAGGCCCTGGGCTCCCAGGGCTTGCAACCAGACTGCGCCCGCTCCACCGCTCCGGGCTGGCACCCCTGCTCGAGCGACAGCCAAGGAGCCCTTTGTGTACCTCATGGGTGTCCCATCCTATGGCTTCCTATGCACTGGGGGGTTTTCAACCCCACGGTGGAGATGTCCTGTTGTGTGACAAGGTGGGGGCAAACTGGTGAGGCCCCCCCTCGAGGGCTGGGTCCAGTTTGGGCCCCTCCCCACAAAAAAGACATTGAGGGGCTGGAGTGGGGCCAGAGAAGGGCCACGGAGCTGGGGAGGGGTCTGGAGAAGAAGTCTGATGAGGAGAGGCTGAGGGAGCTGGGGGGGTTCAGCCTGGAGAAAAGGAGGCTGAGGGGAGACCTTCTGGCTCTCTCCAACTCCCTGAAAGGAGGGGGTAGCCAGGGGGGGTCGGTCTCTGCTCCCAAGTCACAGGCCATGGGACAAGCGGAAACAGCCTCAAGTTGCACCAGGGGAGGTTCAGATTGGAGATTAGGAAACATTTTCCCATGGAAAGGGTTCTTAAGCCTTGGAATGGGCTGCCCAGGGCAGGGGTTGAGGCCCCATCCCTGGAGGGATTTCAAAGCCGGGTTGCCATAGTGCTTAGAGCCATGGGTTAGTGATGGTTTTTATCAGAGTTAGGTTAATGGTTGGACTAGATGATCTGAAAGGTCCCTTCCAACCCAGACAGTTCTATGATTCTATGACTCCAGAAGCCAGGTCAGCAAATGGCTGTGGTGGGACATGCTGCTGACCTCCTGTGACCATCCAGGCAAGTCCTTGGGCTCGTGCTGAGTCAGGGGTTGAGTAACTACTAGAAGCTCTAGGAAGTGTCAGCGAGTAATGAAACCAGGCAAGAACATGGTATTAGCGGGTTCTTTTTCTGGAAATTCCCATTAAAAACAACAGATCTCATCCACTGGTGGTTGCGAGCACACATAGACCCTTTGCATGAGAATGGAGGTGTTGTTCCTGGCACTGTGGCCAGATTGCAATCCGGTAAATTATGGTCTGTTTACTTAAAATGCCACCTGTGGTTTCAGTAAGATCCAGCATTGATTTATTACCCTAAACTGTTGTATGTTGTTACTGCCTGTTGTTTACAGAGTTGCCGCACATCTTCCCAGGAATGGCTGAGCTTGCTTTGACCCCTACTCTCAGCTTGTGGGTCGGTTTGTCTGCAAAGCACTTTGGGATTTCTTTGGAATGGGTAGAGAAGTTTTCTAAAGAAATACTTTTTTAATCTTCTGGATGCAGGCTTGGGTGGGAGCAGTTATTCCCTGCAGAAAAATCCGGCTGCTACAGCTGAGATTGCTTAACAGTGGCAGTTCTCCAGGACATCTTAACCAACGGAGTGCTGCTTGCTGCCATTGCATCTAGAGTCCTTGGGAGAGGACACGATCAAATGTGTTTAAAAGCATCTGTTTTCATAACCGGAGCTAAAATCCCTGGATAGCTGGGTGTAATTTTCCATTGTTTTTTGAACGCGTGATCACGGAGTGCTCTTGGAAAATAAGGAGTACTGGGAAGAGGAGCTGCAGGCCGGGTCCAGTGCACGGTGGGTGCTGTGCCAAGGACCTGGTCTTGATGAGGGAGTTCTTGCTTCCTCAACAAGTAAGAGCCGAAGGACCTTCTCTTAGCAAGAAATAGTGTGTTGGTGGGAGTCTTCAAACTGCAAGAGAGTGGTGGCAAATGCCTGGCTTTGGAGGGAAGGGTGGACTAGACCAGTCCTTCTAGTTTTATTTTAAAAAGCTTTTTTAGAAGCAGGGGGAGCGTTAGGAGGGCAGTGGACGCTTTCTCAGCTAGCTTTGAAGGAATTGCAGAGGGCGTCTTGAGTGCTTCATCCTTTGCTTCTCTGGAGTGAAGATTGCAGTCTTCTCTCTGCCCTTCATGGTACAGCCGAGCAGGCTGGCTAGAGAAACTGCCTAGGATTCCAGCCAAGCAAAAAAAAAAAAAATATAAAATGGAGTATATAACACCTTCATCTGATAGCGAGTTTTGATAAGTTTGAGTATAAGGCGGAATCCAGTCCATTAGGGAGATTGATTGCGCAAGGCAGGAGAGATTTCAGTTTGCTGTGCCAAAATACATGGAGAATTCGGGTTACGACACAGGGAGGTGAAAGTCCCTGCTCAAAATGCCTGGAGGCATGATACAGCACAGCCAGTTCACCTACAAACAGCCCGTGCGGGGATCCGAGATCTGTGATATGGGTCGATTGCACTTTGTCCTCAGCCGGAGCAATGCTCCTCTCATTCCTCAAATTCCTACACTGTTCACCTTTCCCCACCCAGCTCCCAGCAGAGAAAACAAGGCTCACTCAGCAGGGGATGATGAAAACATCGAGGTATCTATCAAGGCAGGACTAGAGGCTTTTGCTGGGGAGGAACAAGCAGTTTGATCTCAGAGGGCAGAACGGGCCCGTCTGTCGCACTGGAAAGTCCTCATTTGGTCTGTTTGGGAATAATGAAGAGTTATTCCCAAACTGCTATAAGAGATCTTACCAAAAGGAAAAGGGTGTTGTGATTTCAGCCGAGGAGCTACGTGTTTCCAAAGGGGGAGCTCTCCTGGTCTCCTTAGCTGAAAAAGCTGAGTTTAAAGAAAAGAGAAAATAAGAGATTACAGACACCTGTGAGGCAGGTAGAGCCATGGAGACAAAAGCATCATCTGGAGCGAACGTAGCTCTTTGAAATGTCTCAGAAACATTTTTTCTAGTGCAGGCAAGCGTGAAGGGGGGTTTACGGAAAGGAGGGGTCATTCCACATGTCGGAGGGAGGGGAGAAAATTCAGGAAGTGCTCTTTTAAAATTCCCTTTTAAGGAGCAGCGTGCATAGGGTACGACAGTGCACAGAAACCAGCCCTGACCACAAATGGAGCAGAAGTGAGGTTTCTTGAGGATTCAGAGTGGGGGGCTAGTTTAATTTAATTTTGGATAATTTAAGACATTGAATACAAAAATAAGTTTTAAAAATATTTTGAGACATTTATGTAAAAAGAGTATGTTTTTGTTAAGCATAACAATGAAGGGTTTGGGCTGGAAATTAAAGAGCAGCGCAAACAAAAGCAAAACATGGTGCTTGGGGTTTTTCTCTTCTTCTGTGGTCAATCTGCAGAGTGTCTTTTGTGTCTTGATTGTTATTTTCAAACCAAAGTGGCTGTGGGAGACAAGTTCAGTGCTATTCACAGCTCTGCTCATGTTTTTGGCTAGAAGAAATGATATCTAAGGGGTGGGAGCCGTGGTAGGAGGGGAGCTTAGCCTTCTCCCCACATTTTGTTCTCCTCCAGAGCAGTGAGGGGTTCAGACCCAGGTTCTCTGATGATCTTCTCCATCGCCTTTTGGGGAGTTTCCTGGGTTTGGATGTGGCTCTGGCGCTGTGGCTAATGCTTGCTCTCTCCCCCGCTGCAGGGTTTTGGCTGGTGTGGACCATCATCATCATCCTCAGCTGCTGTTGTGTTTGCCATCACCGACGCACCAAGCATCGTCTGCAGGCCCAGCAGAGGCAACACGAGATCAACCTGATCGCGTACCGGGAAGCCCATAACTACTCAGCCCTCCCCTTTTATTTCCGTATGTACCTTACACCTGGTTTTTCCTGGAGGCCATGGGGAGCAGGGCAGCAGCCAGTTTCCCATGTTGGGTGGGAGTGGGGAGCAGTGGCTGGGCTCAGGAGGAGGTGTGGGGGACAGTTTAGCTGCCTCACCTTGGATTGTGGAGAGGAGGTGACGTATTCCAGCTGCTGGATGTGTTTGAGACCCCTTGAGCTTGGCGTTGAACCACACCACCTTCCCCCCACCCTCGATGTGGCTCCGTGAGAGCAGTGATTCCCTGGGTGTTTTTCGGGGAAGGTTCATAAAATATCTCACTCAGGACTTTATGGATGCTCCTCATTTCCAGCCTGCACTTGCTGCTGGTGGGACTGAAATGTGGGGAAGTGGCTCCACGAAATTCAATCGTAGAGCCTGGGTGGAAGTGGTGCCTCAGCAGGGACCACGCCAGCTCCTGCCCTGCGCTGCAGTTCCCAGACCAGCTCCTGGTGACTTTGCCCAAGGAGCTGTTGCCCACAGCTCAGTGAAAGTACAATCCCTTTGTCCTCTCCTTCGTGCCCCACTATGCTGTGTGAGAACAGTGATTCTTGGCCTTTTGACTGGAGGTACCACGGCTGAGTCTCCCGTAACGGACGGTTGAATCACGTGTATGAACTTGCTTTTCTCATTAAACTCTTGCAGCCACCTCAGAAATAACCCCCAGCAGCACTTTCCTCCCTGGCTCCAGGCAAACACAATTGCACGTGGAAAACCACAGTGTTATCTTTAAACATTTCCAGAATTTAAGTCCATTCTCTCTACATAGACTATTTTGTTGCCTCTTAAGAAATAAGCAAAATCTTTCATAGATTTGAGGGGCTGGTAGTACAATAAACCAAACTGTCCTGCTGGTACTACCAGTGTATTCTGACCAGCCCAGAAAAACTGAATCCAGCAGTGAAACAACCTATAAAAGCCAGGATCCTGAGTTCCTTGTGACTACTCATGTCTTTTCATATTTGCACAAGGCTTTGTGAGATGAAATCTTTGTGCTTTAAAGGGGAAACTGGGCTGAGGAGTCAGTGTTGGAGAGGGGCTGGCGAGTTGTTTGGTCTCCCCGGTTGTTCCCTCCAGCCACCACTGATGATCCCTTGGTGTGGATTCTGGGGCTGTTCTGGGGTGCAGGGTGGTGGGGGAAGGTTCCCCTGGTAGCCCGAAGCACAGATTTGAGAGCAGGGAGGTCAGGGGGCTGTTCCCAACTGTGTCCATCTCCTCCTGTAACGGTGACCTCCTGTGCCACCCGTTGCTTCTTCTCCAAAACATGACACGTCTCATTTGGGCCAAGTTGTGGCACCCCTTGTGAAGCCCCTTGAGCTCTTCAGTGGGAAGGTGCTGGTCAATGACAAATGACACACCGACCTGTTCTAGTGACTCATTTCCTGCGTTAAGCTGCGCATGAAATAACAGAATCACAGAATCCTCTAGGTTGGAAGGGACCTTAAAGATCATCTTGTCCAACTGTCAACCTAACTGACAAAAATAGACACCCCCACAACAAACAAGAAGCATCACCATCACTAAACCATATCTCCCAGCGCTACATCAACCTGTCTTTTGAACACCTCCAAGGGATGGTGCCTCAACCCCCTCCCTGGGCAGCCCATTCCAATGGCTGAGAACCCTTTCAGTGAAAAATTTTTTCCTAATATCCAGCCTGAACCTCCCCTGGTGCAACTTGAGGCCGTTTCCTCTTGTCCTGTCGCCTGTGACTTGAGAAAAGAGACCGACCCCCCCTGGCTACACCCTCCTTTCAGGGAGTTGCAGAGAGCAATAAGGTCTCCCCTCAGCCTCCTCTTCTCCAGGCTGAATAACCCCAGTTCCCTCAGCCTCTCCTCATCAGACTTCTTCTCCAGACCCCTCACCAGCTTTGTTGCCCTTCTCTGGACCCAGATCCAGCACCTCAATGTCTTTTTTATGGTAGGGGGCCCAAAACTGGACACAGCACTCAAGGTGAGGCCTCACCAGTGCTGAGTACAGGGGGACAATCACCTCTCAGGCCCTACTCCCCACACTGTGCCTCAACCGCCTCCCTGGGCAGCCCATCCCAATGTCTGATAACCCTTTGAGTGAAAAAAATCTTTTTCCTAATTTTCTCCTCCTTCCTTCCCGCTTTTAGGGTTTTTGCCAAATTATTTACTACCTCCCTACGAGGAAGTGGTGAACCGCCCGCCGACCCCGCCGCCCCCCTATAGTGCCTTACACCAGCAGTGCGTCCCAGCGGGCAGCAGTAGCACAATCCCAGACACGCCGAGAACCCTGCAGCCGGCGCAGAGCAGCTCGGCAGCACCCGGGGGCAATAACGGGGGCACCGACCCCACCGCCTGCCCCGGCGAGCCCCAGCCCTCCTCCGCCGCGCTGGTGGAGCGAGCCGTTGCCAAAATGCAAAGCGTGGAGCCCGGCGGCACCAGCACGGGAGCCGAGGTGGTGGAGAGGGCCGGACCCCATAAGGATACGGAGCGCAAGGAGGAACTGCTGAAAGGTTACAGCTCGGAGAGCTTAGAGCACGGCGGCGCCATCCCCGAGGCCAAGGACAAGACGCCGGGCAGGCAGCGCCGTTTCACCGGTGACTCGGGCATCGAAGTGTGCGTCTGCAACCGGGGCCACCACGACGACGACCTCAAGGAGTTCGACGGGCTCATCGACGACGCACTGGACGGGCCCCTGGACTTCTGCGACAGCTGCAGCGGCCGCCCCCACGGGGACGAGGAGGAAGGGCTTTTTAGCGCCGCGGAAGAGCAGCAGCGTGAACACAGCCACCACCACCTGCCCCGGCAGCCGGTGTGTGTACTCTTGAACACAATAAATGAGCAGGACTCTCCAAACTCTCGCACCAATAACTCCCCCAGCTAAGGCGGCAAGAGCGGAAGGGAGAATCGGGGGAGAAAAAAAATAAACAAAGAAATAAAATGGAATAAGAGGATTAAAACTTTAACAGGAGGAAAAGGTGATACAGCCTTCTTTTTGGGTTTTTTTTTTTTAGTTTATTTTTCTTTCTCCCCCTCCAATATAATTCGGGGACTAGTTCCCCAAGGCCCGGCTCGTGGGGGACGGGTCGTTCTGGGTTTCGTTAATCGTGTCCGCGCTGCTCCGCGGGGCAGGGACTTGGATGTTTCTCAATGAGACCTTCTTCTAACAAATGGAACTTTCCCAATGGTGATTTTGGTGATGGTTATGACGAGTTTGTTGGTTTTAGTTTCCCGAAACACTGCTTTATCTCGCAATCAGTAAAGCTCAGCAGATCTCACCCTGGGAGGATACGGGATCACCGTAAGGCTTCAACCTCCAGGTGTCTTCCCAGAAGCAAGCAGCTTCTGACAGTGCCGGCAGTCAGTAGCCCAAGAGTTCTGGTTTGATATAGTGCTCTTGAGGCATTGGGGATCTCTTTTCTTTCTTTCTTTCCTTTTTTTTTTTTTTTTTGGTTTTTGTTGGTGTTGAGTTTTTCCCAAAGCTGATGAATGCCTGAACACATCAGCCCTATAACCTCTGGTGCTTCAGCGTTTAAGACAGCAGGTAGGAGATTTCCCGCTTGAAGCTGGGGACTGAAGGACCAGTTTCTTCCGGAAGGAGTTGGAAAAGAAAGGGTTTGCAGAAATTTGCCTTTTATATGTCACTTTTAAAGACAAGTGTATTCCTTCAATGCCTCCAAGAGCACAGTTAGAAGTAGAATCCAGGCAGCTGGGCTGCCTCACAAGTACTGTGGTCTCCGAGTGACCTTTTCCCGGTGTGCTGCAAAAGGGCTTCTTTGGCTTGATTATTATTTCCAACCCCCCCCTCCCTCCCCTTTTTTTGCACCCCGAGAGCAGCACACTTGAGTTAAGATGACAAAAACAGAACAGGGCTCTCTTTGGCCAGCGTGCCTTCAAGCTTCAGCGATGCATGTTGAACAAATGGAGACGAGAGCTCCGTCCATTGCGAAGGGATGGCTTACCGTGTCCATGTGGAAGACCTGTGCAGTATTTTTCTTTTTTTTGTTTTTTTTTTTTTGATCCAAAAGTTTGGTGCGATTTTGATGTTGACCACTTAAAAGAAACGAATGTCTTGTTTTCTTTTTTTTCTTTTTTTTTTTTCTTTTTTTTTATGGTGGCAACTGGCTACTGTATGATGTCTGTGAGCGTGTGTGTGTGACTGCAATCCATGCATGCGAGTCCTACTGGTGACACGAAAACCTGCTGTACGACTGCAAGAAAATTTACTGTAGCTTTGCTTTAATAAACGGTAGAGATTTTGTTAGTAACAACCTGAAAGGAAAGAAAAAAAAAAAAAAAAGGCAACGAAGAGCTGAAACTAACATTCCCTGGAGTGCTCGTGTGGAAGAGAGCACAGTTCAGACTGTGTGTCTTGTTCTCTCGGTCTTGGGTTTTCTCCCCGTCCCTTTTATAATTATGGTCGTCCAGATCATTACTGTTATGGGGGGGAAAAAAAAAAAAAAAAACAATCAGCAAGAGAAATCATTGTCACTGGCCATTTCCCTCCCCTCCTCATCACACAATATCCAGACAGATAGTTAGCACATACCAATGCTCCAGTAGAAAGGAACATTTTGTACTTTAGAGAAAAACACAAAGGCCAGATCAAAAGCTTATGGAGCCAGTTTATAAAGGTCTTTAGGTAGTCAAGGATGCAGCAGGATGTTCAAAAACAACTTGTCGAGTAAGTGCTTAAAAAAAAAAAAAAAAAGAAAATTGAAAACTGAACTCAGAACATATTCAGATTTGATTGATTGAAAACCAAAATCAGTTTTAAATAAGGTGGAAACCAAAATATAATGCCTTTTCTGATAACTTGCCCGTGTGTGTGTGTATCATTTTGTGAATTAAGGACAACATTTGTCTTTAGTTGGTGGTTTTGTTTCTGTAGCTGGAGGTACGTAGCGCTGTGCTGGGTACGGGTGACAGAGCAAGGCAAATTTTGGTATTTTACCCATACGTTTGAGGAGAATCTCACTCCTTTGCCCATCACAGCCTTTCTCTTCCAGCAGAAGGGCTGATGAAGACGGCTCTTCAGTTTGTGTCCTAGGGTGCTCTTTAAGAATGAAGGACTTTGATTTGGATTCAGGAGACCTCTTTCCAGGATGCCTGGAGGGTGAGTGGTGACAGAGGGGCTGTGTGTGCCCCAGAGCTGGGCTGGCCTTGCTGTCCCCCACAGCCACCTGGGGACCGGTGGCTTCCAGCCGTGTTCACCCACTGCCTGTATCTTTTGAGGAGAGAATTAAAGATCCCCAGTGCCACCCCTAGGAATTCTGTATGTATTGGCTCCTGGCTTTGTTCCTCGCAGCACAGGGGAAGCTAAAACAGCACATCAGTCCTTACGGAGTGGGGTCTGACTGCTGTAAATCCTGGGGACAGCCCCGTGCCGGAGGGAGACCCTTTGCCAACATTTCTGTTGGCACGAGACAAAAATCTCCACGTTTGCTTTCCCTCCCAGTAAGGGCAGGGGAACCCCCCACTTCTTCTTCTCCAGACAGAGGTGAGTACCACCAAGCTGAGCTGATGTTTGTAATCTGAAAAAGCCAGGAAGCAGCGGTGATGGGCCTGTTCTGCGACTCTGGAGGTTCTTCAGGTTTTTGAAGACCATAAAGAAACAAGGAGAGCACAAACCACGTCTCTTAAGCTCGCATGTGCCTGATGAGGATCAGGACTGTCAGTGTGGCCCTTGGTTGGTCAGGCTTTTAGACCTGGACCAGGAGCAGCTGGTGTGGGGCAGGGTGGCTCCTCGGACACGTCTTGGCTGGTGCCTCTTCAGAGGAGAAAACACGGGCGGGCAGAGGGCTCCCAGAGCTCCAGCTTTGGAGCTTTAGAAAGGTGCTTGATCCTCACGCAGAAAGCCAACGTGGCCCAAACAGAGCTCTTCTCCGAGTGCCCACTGTGTGGGCAAAATGCTGGAGACGTGAGGAGAGGGGCGGGTGTGTGTCTGTGACAGAGGAGCTCCAAGACACCCCCATTTCCAGCTGTGAGGGGCGGGTGTTGTACGGGAGTCATGAATATCTGGTTCCAAAATTGAGTTGCAGAGGGTGTAGTGCGACTTGGGGGCAAATCAGTGCCAGCCCACTGTGTGGTGTTTTTCTTTACAGGGTGCTTGAAGTGTTGGTGCCAATAATACTTGAAGTCTGGTTTTGCCAGGGCCTGTGGCAGCCCGGTGCTGCCTACGCTGCTGAAATTGGCTCCAAAGGCAAGGACCTGGTGGGCATCCTGACGGGCTCTCGGGGTGCGTGGCCTGGGGCCAGGGCTCAGCAAGGAGTCCCCCGGGCACGGCGGGGGGTTCCTGGAGTGGTGGGTACCATGGCATCGCCTCGGTGTTCCCCAGGGACTCGGGCTCCGACGATGCAAATTCCCCCTCGGGGAACACCCGTGTAATGTGATTTTCCTGCAGGATGTCGCCGCCTGTTTGTACAACCCCAGTGGATGGGTGTTGGCTGGAGATGGAGGAGGAGGGAACGGTGTGTCTCGGTGCTCGCTGGCAGCCTGTGCTTGGAGTCCTTACCTGCCTGTCTCCAGGCTAAGGAAAGCCGAGGTGCAGTTAAGCTTCTGTGTTACACGTAGTGGTGGAAAACTACCTGGGGCAGGAAACCTGAGCAAGCCTCTGGGACAGGAGCAAGATCAGCCGAGAGCTCCATCGTGGTGGTGGGAGCTCGGGGGTCCCCGTCTGCCCCTTGTCCCTTGGGGCCAGGGCTGTGCTCGCCTCCTGCCCCACACATCCCAGGCTCCCACAGCCAAATACCCTCTTCTCCTCCCCACGCCCTTCCCGGGCTTGTGACCCACTCCCTGTAGAGCCAGGCAGGGAGCTGGGGCACGGTGCCCCCTGGTCAATAAGCCCCCCCAAAGCTGGCTCCATCCCAGCCCCTGCTCGCCCTCTCTGAGCCTTATTTCCCACCTTCCACCACCGTATTTTTTTTCCTTCGTTTGTTTATATAGGAAAATCCTGGACTGGGCTGGGAAGGGGGAGCAGCCCACCACCCCCCCAGCTGGAGGCAAGCTCTGGGAAGGCTGGGATGAGAGGCCTTTCTCCATCAGAGCTGGTTCCCCCCACCCCCTTCCCTTGCTGCCCGGGGCTGGTTTTATCAAGATGGGCCTGATGCCCGCAGCGGTTGGTGCGAGCGCCGCCGTCTCCCTGCCTGGCTGGAGGGAGGGGGGGTGTCACAGGCTGCCGGGCTGTTTCTGGGTTTGTTTTCGGCCGCCCAACAGCTGTGTCCTGAAGTTTGTGCTTACTCAGCTCGCCTGGCTCCGTGCCCCCTGCAGAGCCCACAGGTATTCCAGACATCACCCACCTCCTCCTGCACCGGCCGTGGGTTTCGGGCACAATCCGGCACCGGCCGGTGCCTGGTGCCAAGCAAAGCCCCTCGAAGGTGGAGGGCTCCTCAACTGGGGCAGCTGAAGGCTGTGGAGGGGTGTGCCCCCCCAACAAAAGTTGTTGGTGGGATGGAAAGGCTCAGGCTTGCTCTGCCCCGTGCCCTGGGGTCCCATCTCAATGAGCTGTGCCTCTGCTTCATGGGGAATGGTGTGGGAACAGCCATGTGGGAAAAGTCATCATGCTTTCCACCATCACTGGTTCCTCTCCTGCAGACCCTTCCACTGTGGGGAGATGGAGCTGCTGGTTTCTGACCCCCACACACAACCCTGAGCTGCCATCCCCAACACTTTGGCATCACTCCCTCCTGTCCTGGTTCCTCCTGTGCAAAGACCCCCCGAGGGAGGGCAGTGACCCAGCGCAGCCCGAGCCATCACAGCAGTGGGATGATTCAGCTGCAAAAGCCTTGGGGTTCCCAAGAGCTGCCCACACTCAGCTGGCCAAAACCTGGTGGCAGATGCCAAGGTCCCATGGGCATGGCCACCTCATCCCCCCAGACCTTGGGTCACTGGGCTTCTCAGCTCTGAACGAAGCTGAAGAGCTTGTCCAAGGTGGTGGGTTTGCGTGTCCTGGGTCTCAGGGACTTCTGCTTGGGGGTGCAGGAGGAGGGATGGGGCTTCCACAGGCTGGGTCTGGCACTTGCCCTGTGCCACCAGCAGCCCAGGTGAAGCTGGCTGGTGGGGTCTGGGGGTTTGGGCGCAGCAGCGGGGCCCCCGCAGCAGCTGTCGGGACAGAAATACCAGCCCGATGATTCAGCAGCGTCTCTGCCCGTTCCCAGAGCGAGGAGCAGCCCCGCCGGAGGCTGTTTACCAGTTCACAAGGTGCTGGGCAGCTGGTGCTGGGTACTGAACCCCCCCGGCAACGTCTTCTCCTGGTCGGGCGGCTGGGAGGAGGCAGGCTGGGGCAGGGGACAAGATCATGGAATCATAGAATGGTCTGGGATGGAAGGGACCTCCAAAGGTCATCTAGTCCCACCTCCCCACAGTCAGCAGGGACACCCCCAACTAGACCAGGTTGCCCAGGGCCTCCTCGAGCCTCTCCTTGAATATCTCCAGGGAAGGGGCCTCAACCACCTCCCTGGGCAACCTGTTCCAGTGCTCCACCACCCTCACAGTGAAGAACCCTCTCCTCATCTCCAGTCTAAATCTGCTCCCCTCCAGCCTAAAGCCATTGCCCCTCGTCCTCTCCCTACAGGCCTTTGTAAACAGGCTCTCCCCATCTCTCCTGTAGCCCCTTCAGGGACTGGAAGGCCGCTATTAGGTCTCCCCAGAGCCTGAGAGGTGATTCTTCTGCTTTGCTCTGCTCTGGTGAGACCTCACCTGGAGCACTGTGTGCAGGTCTGGAGCCCTCAATATAGGAAAGACATGAACCTGATGGAGCGGGTCCAGCGGAGGGCCATGAAAATGCTCCGAGGGCTGGAGCCCCTCTGCTGTGAGGACAGGCTGAGAGAGCTGGGGGTGTTCAGCCTGGAGAAGAGAAGGCTCCGGGGAGACCTTATAACGGCCTTCCAGTACCTGAAGGGGCTCCAGGAGAGATGGGGAGGGACTCTTGGTCAGGGAGTGGAGCCATAGGATGAGGGGGAACAGATTTAAATTGAAAGAGGGGAGATTTAGATGAGATACCAGAAAGAAATTCTTTGCTGTGAGGGTGGTGAGACCCTGGCCCAGGTTGCCCAGAGAAGCTGTGGCGGTCCCATCTCCGGAGGGGTTCAAGGGCAGGCTGGATGGGGCTTGGAGCAACCTGGTCTGGTGGGAGGTGTCCCTGCCCAGGGCAGGGGGTTGGGACTGGGTGACCTTTAATGTCCCTTCCAACTCTGGCCATTCCATGATTCGATGATTGTGACTGCAGGAGGCTGGAGAGGAGCCTTCTTGCTGGCACGTGCCGCCAGGGACAGGATGTGGGGCAGGACTGGGCTGGCTTGGAGGTGCCAGTT